TCATAATCCCTCCTGATATTGGTTCAAATCTTCCATAGCATTGTCACTTTATTTTCACTTTAATTGGGTGGTGACACCACCTAAATGGATATAAAAATTGTTTAATTAAGTAATTTAAAATTCATAAAAAAAAATTCAATCATGTATTGACACATGTCACGTTCTAATTGGATAGCTAAATTTATTTAATTGAATTAAAATAGTGACTAAATTGATAGAATATGTAAATATTAAGGACCAGATATAAAATTATTCTAATTTTATTAACGGACACGTGACCACCTCCGTTAAAAATTAACGGCTGGTGGCTTGATTGAAACATTTAAATAGTTGGATGGTCTGATTGAATCAATTGAAACTTCGATGGTCAAATTGATTTTTTACAATAGTTTAGTGGTCTCCCGTGTAGTTTACCCTTTTTATCTTTCAAAAGCTACGTACAATATAAAATAGGGAATAGCTGACCCCTCGACCACGTCTCCTTCTCTCTTTCTCAAAAAGCTTTGAATTTACTTCTGCACTTGGGTTTGCATTTGGTAGCTGAAGTTTCATTAGTTCTTTGCTTTTTATCCCTATCTATATATACATCTTTCTCTGGTTTAAGTGCTTCAATTTGATTTATACCATGAACAACATAGCATTTGAATATCAGGAGGTAAGCTCTATATGGGGTTTTCATTTCTTCATCATCCTTGCCTTGTTGCTAGATATTGTTTCATTTCTGGGTTTCTTTACGAATGTTGAGATTGAGTTAAGCTTTTGATGATGGTGTAGGAGCATATAAGGAATTCAAGAGGAACTTTGCTTTTCACGTGCAGATGGTTGCCTTTCTCTTCTCCAAAAGCTCTTGTTTTCCTTTGCCATGGTATTGCCTCTCTCTTTTTCAGTAATCTACACTGTAATTTGTGTATTATCAATCAGCTAAACCCAAAAAAAGTAAAAGGTGAGCTGGATCATTAATGACGTTTGCAGGTTATGGCATGGAGTGCAGTGGATTCATGAGAGGTAATAAATACTCTTGATTATCTTATTTCCCTTTTCCACGTTCTAATTTTAAGATAACCAGGAAAAAAAACCATACATCAAATTTAAAACTCGTAGTTCTTTACGAATCATCATATGCCATGTAAAATATTCTGGTTTCTGTGATGAAATTAAAAATACTTGATAACAAAAATCTCTAAATTATGCATTTGTTTTCATTTAAGTGATTAAGTTTTTTTTGGTTAATTCAGGTGTTTGAAGTTATAAACGTTAATATTTTAATTGCGTCGACCGTAACGGTAGATAAAATATTCCGTTAGCTGACACGTGTCATATTTATATAATTTTAAAATTTTAATTTAATATAAAAAATTTAAATTATAGTTTTTTATATATAAAAAAACTCAAAATTTTCAGAAATAGTTCAAAATTTGAAAACTCTAAATATAATTCCTATATCCACGTTGGTCACTGTTATCACCATCAACCGAATCTCCACCCGATGACTAATTTCCTGATACAGTTATCAAAACAAGAGATGACTAACATAAATCCTACAAAGATTAAAGCTACATATCGTGACATCACGCGACCCCGATGACCATCTCAATGGCAAAGACGATATTGGCAACGGTGGTCGTGGCCGGCAAAGGAGATGATAAGATCAAGGTTAGAGATTAGGGATTTAAGGTTTTTTTTGTAATTTTAGAAAAATAAGCATTTTTTAAAATATAATAATATTTTTAATTTTTTTCTTAAATATGAAATTTTCAAAAGTATCTGAATGCGACATATGTCACTTAACAGATTTTTTTAACGGCGTTACAACTGGAATACTTAAAATAGTAACATTAAACACCTGAATTAAAATGGAAAAAGTTGTATAGTTTGGATAATTTCTCTATATATATATATATATATATATATAATCCAAATAAAAATGTGGGTCATATGGTTTTGGTTAGGCGCCAACAATCAAATTTGGCCCGCTACCCCACCAAGATTTCTCTCATAAAGTTGTTTTTACCACATACCATAGAGGCATAGACTATTTCAATTAGAAGAGGAAACAAACAACCAGTTAGTCTAAATCATGGTGACGGGTCCATTCAATAACATACACTGATATAAACATTAATGGTCTTTTAATAGAATGTGGAACCAGGCTAGCCGCCGCGGGATACGCCATGTTCGGGATCGATACGAAGGACATGGGAGGTCGAAGGGTGCTCGATGTTACATTAAGAAGTTCGAAAACATAGTTAATGACTGCAGTGACTTCTTCAAATCCATCTGTGGTATGTGCCAACTTGCAACAATTACTTAGCCAAATCCTTTTGTTTTTACTCTAAACCATCCACCTATGGTTGAATTTTCCAGCTCGGGAAGAATACAGGGACAAGAGCAGATTCTTGTATGGGGAGTCAATGGGAGGAGCAGTGACCTTGTTGCTTCATAAAAAGGACCCTTCATTTTGGAATGGTGCCGTTCTTGTTGCTCCCATGTGTAAGGTAATGTACTCTAAATGGAAGGTAGTATATATACATAAATACATGTATGGCCCGTTTTTCAGCTATTCTAATTGTTCAAAATGTTGGCAGATATCAGAGAAAGTGAAGCCACACCCGGTGGTGGTGAATATATTGACCAAAATGGAAGAGATTATACCTAAGTGGAAGATAGTACCCACAAAAGACGTCATTGATTCGGCGTTCAAGGATCCTACTAAGCGAGAACTGGTGAGGACATTGACTGTATCTGATTTTTTTCCAGACGTTTCCGACATGTATTTTGCCGTGTCTGTGTCAGGTATGTGCCCGACACTCGTACACCCTCTCGTCTCTCCATGAGTGTCCATAATTATAGCTCACCACCCAAGGTATCTCTTTGAATTCATGATGGTTGCAGATAAGGAACAATAAGTTAATATATCAAGACAAGCCTAGGCTTAAAACAGCGCTGGAAATGCTCCGAACCAGCATCAGCCTTGAAGATGGTTTAAATGCGGTATAAAAACTCATCCCCTCTCATGCTCGAGCTCTCGCCCTCGCCCTCGGCATTGTAAACATCACTACTGTTATATATGGTTTATATGCATTCAAACACCATTTATTGGGGGTAAGTGATAAAAGATAGTAGTTGCTGTTAGGTTCTGCATATTGTACCATGCCAGAAGGTTCTTAGTCTTACTGCTTATATTGGATTCCCTGTTTCGCCAGCCATTTGGATCAAGCCTTGAACGAGTTAAATGCAGTAAAAAAGTTACGTAGAAAGATTATTGTTACCGAGAGGCCTGTCGAGATACTCGAGTCTTTTTAATTTATTTTTCATTTAGAATTTTTTGGTTGAGGGTTGTTTATGCAGGTGACACTCCCTTTCTTTGTGTTGCATGGGGAAGCTGATATAGTAACGGACCCTGAAGTTAGCAAGACATTGTACGACAAAGCTAGCAGCAGGGACAAAACTATAAAGCTATTTCCGGGGATGTGGCATGGTTTGACATCAGGAGAGCCTGATGCGAACATAGAGATCGTTTTTGCAGACATTACGGCTTGGCTCGACAAGCGGTGCGATGCCATAACTTTCAAGCAGTTTCTTCATCCGATTAACGACGGGTTTGAAAAGTTAGATAATACGATGACATCGATGGCAAACAGTAGAATGCAATCCAACGGGAGATATTTGTGTGGATTGAAGCAATTTCGCATGCAACATCACTCTGCAATGTAGCTTGATAGTAATAATATAAGATTATAGGTACTGTCCGTGTATATTTCTCTGCACTATAACTTCCAATTCATGTTCTATCAAACGTAAAAATGCAAAACTTTTGAGGGTGATGAAAACAGTGGAATAAAATTGAAAATCGTTGCAGTTCGTGTACCTGAGAAAGCTTTGGTTTTCCATTCGAGTTCTATGATTTTTCTCTTTGTGTTCTTTAAGCAAGAAGCTCGATACGCCACATAAGCAAATGAAAGAATGGTAAATGTAGATTCGCAAAGCTCACTGTCAATTAAGGTTAAAAGGGGTAGAGACATGGAACTACTACAAAGATGGCAATCGCATTATCAAAAAGGTCCAAGAACTACATTTCAGATAACATATTTCAAGATATATGAAACAACCTTGGTTTGGGGTTTCAGCAGTAAACTGTTTTTACCCAAACTGGTGGTGGGCAATCATCATCAAATGAATGGTGCAATTCACATGGATGTAGTGATTAGGACCACTAAGACATCAACCCCATTGTTTAATCCATCCGGTTTTGACATTTCAAGGGCAAATTCCAGGTGCACTGCAGCATTAGAGCAAAGGTTTTTCCTAAAATTTTGAAGTTAGTAGTCAAGCTAAGGCCTTTAATTTCATAATTGGTGAAAATCATTCCAACTTTGTGCAGTTGCAGAAATAATTTGACCATAATAAAGTAACTGGTTATCGGTAAAATTTAAGGGAAAATATTGCCAATGAAATGCCATGCGAACTGCATTTTATATGATTTTGCAAATGTGCTATGCATGAACAGCTCTAAAATGTCTTAAGGGTAGAGAAAAAAATGATATTACATCCCATCACATGTATGATCGTCATACAAAAATGAACTCCCTACACAGTGAGTCCTTAGACAGGTCACAGTTTAGCATATAAACTGACTTCATTTCTTTTATTTCCCCTATTGGCATTGCCTTAACATGAATGTTTCGGGTTAAACTTTCTTCAGGCCGGCCAGAGGATTGTGTTAACTAATTACAATAAAGACACAAGGCTTACTGATTTTTGACATTACTCGATCATACTGCAGCCTATTGATGTCTCCTGTATAATAAGAAAATTTGTGCAGAACTATCAAGTACCTAATCTTGATAATCTTAAAGATGTAAGTGACTTTGTAACCGAGTGAGTATCCATATATTTTGATATCTCTTGTTTAATATATATTGAACTCCAGGGCCAGGCTTCCATAAATTGTAAAATGCACAATGCTTGGAGGCCTATCTTGCCTAATAGGAATTTCATATAGTAAAAAGGGAGTAGAGAAGAGCTTATTCTTCTTTCTCTCAATCATTCAGCCAATGCTTTGTCAGTAGTATCATGGTACAATACTGAAATTGATTAATGACACAAATCCTCGTAACCAAGTCAAAATTTTGAGGCATAATTATTTCGCTTTGAATAAAATTTAAAGCAGGCAATTGAAATTGTACGTAAAAACGGAAGAGCAAGTCATTAGCAGGCAGAAATAAGCAAGGAAATAGAGTAGTGATGTATCTGATGAAAGGCCAAGCTTATTGTTTTGACTGTGATGCAGATTTTCTGATGATCTCTTCGGAAGGGATCTCCAGTGTAGCTCCCGCATGCTCCTTATTCGGCTTAACCTCTGCAGCAATCCGCAAACAGCGCTTAACATTACGAACTAAGCAGTGATATTTTAAGCAGTGAAATAGGAGGTCAAACAGACAATTTATCGAACATGTGGTGATCATTAAAAGTGAATCATTCAAGTAAAAAAACAAAATGAGCCACGGATGTAAAATTGAGGTACGATATGCGATGCGATGCAAAAGATGGTAAAAGGTACCGTAGCCGCCGCGTTCGTTGAGCTTAGCTTGAACGATCATGGTGGAAATGAAATGGGATGCCTCAAGTGCTTCCTCGAGGAGTCTCTGGATCTCAGGCTCCGAAGTCACGTTTCGATTGGCGTCGAATTTCTGACGAACCTCGATGGCGGAGGCGTTCAGCATCATGGTATCGCCGGCGAACGCTTTCCGGGTAGCTTTTAGAAGGGTCCTGTACGCGCTTAGTACTTCTCCTCTTACCATCTTTCAGCTCTGTTTGTCTCTCTCACTTGGAGTCTACTGTCCCTATTCATGTATTAACCAGTCAAACTTAGGGAAAATGGTAAACTAAAAAAAAAAAAAAGTTAAATTACACAAATGATAACTAATGTTTAAATAAATCATCAGACTTCCCACTAAAATTTTAAAAAATAAAAAATTAATCACTAAAATTATCAATTTATAATAAATTAATCACTCACCATTAAATATTGTTACTATAAATTATCAATTTATAATAAATTAATCACTCGTCATTAAATATGGTTACTATAGTACCAAAATGCTAATATGGCACTACTTTAACTGTGTAGGTTGTCTTGATAACCCATTCACTTTCCCAAGATTATTCAAAATAAAATAAAATATTCAAACTGCTTAAACTCTATTTTTTTTCTCCAAAAATGGCACTTCTCCGTGACCGCTCTCGCCATCGGTTAGTCCGGATTTTTGAGCGCCCCAATGCTTAAGAGTTGAGAACCCCAAAAAAATACGCGACTAATTGCTGGTACAACTTTACAAAGCGTGGGTGGTTTCTGTTAATATGTAGCATTCTTCAATAATATGTGGTTTGTGAACCTTAATCCAATAAAGGTATCGGTTGAATACAAACATTTCATTTCATAGTAATTGTACATCAAATTCATTCTCCTAATGCCGTAATTCAAATTGCTTTCTTACAATAATTTTGCACATCCAAAATCTTTTACACACGCTTTTAACTATAGAATATTGCATGAAAGCATCTCTGATGAGACCCTTCAGAATGTGCACCACTCATCAAATTGGGGTAAAACAAATCTTTTTGACTGCACAAGGTTGTACGTTGCAACTTGTAAATGATCAATCCAGGAGGAGAACCCAACAAATCTTTGTAACATGTATCAACTCTATCCAAGCCATGGCATAGGGGAGCATGTTGTATTACCTCAGGGAATCAGCCATCCTGTAATCATGTTTTTTGCGACGGCATCTATAATGGGCTTTCTGATCAGAGAACGAATTTTCCCCACTAATCTCCATTTTTGAATGTGTACCTGGTCCAAATGAACAGGAATTCAGTTCATGAAACAAGCAAAGAGCAAAAGTAAGCCAAAGGAAAAGGCATTCAGTTATGTAAGGTACAACTTTGATGTCTTCTAAACTAATGACTAATAGCTCTTTCGTAAACAATTAACCCGGTTCACAGAGGTGACCTTGAGAATCACAAGGTTATCCAGTAAATAAACAAAAGTAAGACACAGATCAGCCACAAAAACGCCCGCAAGTGTAACCTAAGACCCTGTATATAACAAGGAAAAACTTGTGATTTATGAGAAAGGGTCACATTGCTTACTAAGGAACAAGATATGCAAAGTTCATTTAAGCACCAATTTGAAAATGAAAGACTACAGGAAATGAATTAAACACAAGAAGCATGAAGAATCACTTAATGTGAAAAAAAACTCACTTTTCTATCAGTACTACGACCCTGTTCTTCATTGCTTTTCAAACTAGTTTTTGGAGCCAAAGGTACATTTTTGGACTAAAAGCAATGAAGTACAGGTAGCAATGTTAAATACTTAAATCTTAAACCAGACAAACCAAAAACACTTTTCAGAATCACTTTTCTACCACACTTCTCAAAAATAATGAATAACAGGCTCTACCACTAATAATATGGCTTCAGCAATATTCTTATATAACAACTCAAAACCAATTGCCACTCAAGTCAAACAACCTCCCCATCTAACAAGATGATAGAACCGAAAACATCTAAAGTAGCATAAGACCACTAATTATGGTTGGTCACCTAATTTGATCCTCCAAATCACCTTCAGACAAAGGCTAAAATAATATGCTTCCCAGATGCAAGACATATTTCAGTAACATCAGAACACAAACTTATATGATTCCAACTGTAAATCTTGTCCACTGGAAACTAAATTTATATACTCTTTAGCACTTAGCTGATGCAGATGCCTATCATTCGCCATTACAAGTCAAGATCTTTTGTGTATCTCTTCACAACTTGAAAGACCAGTAGAATCCGGAAGAAGTTACTCTGGTAAATTTACCCGTTCTAGTTAGAAGTTAGGTCCTTGTCTAGACTCTTCAACAGACATACTCAGATATAGGTACAAGAGAATTCGATCCTCCACAGACACGAAAAACTTAAAATGTCGAGCATTCTCATGTAGAATATATACACAAAACTGATTTTCATCTTGATTTGGGCAGACACGGGTTAAATTTATATAGATATACACATAATAAAACCATTGATAGTATAGCAGTGTAAACACTTGCGCTTTTGCTCAAAATGCCTTGAGAAAACATAATTAACAAACAAATCAAACAAGAAGAAAACCAGCATTGTTGCAATTATGCCAACAACACCAGTCCAGAATCCAAAGATCATAAATTCATATAGATTAACTGTATTTCCAACCGAAAAAAATAGAAGAGATATAGAAAGTACAAAATAAGCAACTTAACTATCAAATAGCACGAACATTAGCAATACCTTCAAAGTGATCTCCCCAAAGCCACAAGCGATTGTCTTCTTCTTCTTCTTCGTCGACCTCATCTCCATACCCAAACTCTCCATCCCCGCGATACCCAGGCTCACTCCCATACCCATATTCATTCCCTTGAGCATCAAAACCCCCAAATTGCACGACTAAACTCTCCTTCTCCCCACTCACACCATCCCCTCTCTCCCTCCTGATATTCCGGGCCTCGCTCACATCCGAGGCCCAATACGGATCCCCACCATTGCCAAACAATTCCCCACTCGAGTCCGTCCCCACAGCCACCGGAAAATCCGAGCACGTACCATAAGCAGCCGAAGCCCCCACAGAACAGCACCTATGAGACCCGCTCCGATCGGAGCTCCGACCCGACACCGACCTCGACCCACGACGGCGCCGTTTTTTTTCGAATATCTTGAAGCTACTTCTCTTGGGATTGGAGAAGACTGGTTTGTTGTTATCGTCGTCGAGGAGGGTTAGCTTGGAGAGGTCAATGGAGAAAGAAGTGGTACGATCGGAGAGGCAAGGACGCTTGGGATGGAAGCCATTGGTGGAGGAAAGTTTCGTTGTGGTATATTGGGGATCAGAGGAGTCTAGGGTTTGTTGGAGGTTGAAAGGCCTCCATGAATGGAGCTGGAACGTGCAAGCGTCCACTGAGTAACGTGGGTCTAGAGTCTTGTGCGACATGGAATGGCAGATTCTCCGATGAGAGGAGGATTACAACCTAAACATGGGTTTGGAGATCTAGGTTTTGAAATTCCGATTTGCAGCAGCACCAAATCTATATTGTTTACTTCGAAAAGTCCCTAAGCTTTGTTTTGAGAGAGATTTTATAGAGGCTGGACTGGCGCAATTGGGAGAAAATAAGAATTAAAATACTGGAAGAGTAAACTATTGGGTCAAGCTCATGCTCATGGTACAGCCGATCTTTCTAGAGCAAGCACTGTTCATTAATTTTTGTAGTTAACTTAAAATCGAGTTGGTCGTGTAGATGTACACATTATTATCGGTTAGAGTCAAAAAAAAGATTAACACTTTATAATTGTTCTTTCGATATCATTTTAATTTGTCAATTATTTTAATTGTAAAAATTAAAATTAAAATTTAAAGATTCAATTTGAATTACTTACCTTTGATTGGATAAAATTGTCCTTAAACAATCAAAAACATTAGATTATAAAATAAAAGAAATATTAAATTAATTTTAGAAGAACATATTAAATTTTAGAAAAAAAATAAAAAAATATAAGGAAAATAAAAGAGAAAATAAAAAAGAAGTGTTAAACTTTAAAGAAAATACAAAAAAAAACGATCAAATTGAAATGAATTAAAATTCATAGATCAAATTAATTCTAGGAATGAGGTGCAAGAGAAAAACATAAGGTTAGGGGACTAAATTGAAAAATACAAGAAGTATAATCAAGGATCAAATCAAAATAATTCAAAATTCAAAGGTCAATTTATAACATGTGACCAAAATAAATTACACATCAAAATATATGTGATTGTGGAAATAATTTAACTATTAGTTAATTACAACCTAGTCCCTAGGTTTTAAATTCCCCAAACCCAAAAAAATTATCATTTTAAACCAAAACCCAAAAAAAATTATCCCCTCTCAAAAAATCTCTTAAACCAAGCCTCATCCAGCCAAGTGGCCAATAAACCTCCGACGACAACCCGCCGTCTAATCCGCAACAAGCGTTGGCCGAAAAAACCAAACTTCACCAAAACGTTCACCCAACTCAATGAACCCGAATCCGAGGCCAAAATCTCGCAAAAAACCCTGAAAAGCATAGATCTATGCCTAAAGTGTTGGTTTTTTACCTTCACCGATGATAACTTTTCAACTTTCCGTTAGTCGTTTCTCCTTTGATCCAACGTCAGTATTCCCTTGCTTTTTTCCGATGTTTTTTTTTTATATACTTGTGATTTGATTGGTTCGATCTTTCATTTTTTTGCTCGCTGTTTTCTGTTGGTATATTGGTGGTATTTGGTTTGGTGTTTCTGGTGATGCCTCATTTTCGGCTTTCCCGGCAAAGCATTTATAGCCCCTAGTCGTGGTTGTTCTCTGTTTACTTCGAGGGGGTCGTTTTAGTCTCGTTTCCCGATTTAATTGGGATTACCGATGTTGTTGATGAAAACCCAGGATGGTGCAGTCTTCGGCTGTCTCGATTCGAACGTCGAGAATCTCGGCCGGCGCGATTCAGACCGTTTGTGACCCTTCGATTGTTAGCCACTATACGGTGCTAATGCTTGGATTCCCGAAACCCTAATATGTTGGGTTGGTTCAGGCATATTCCCGCCAAACCGAGCTTGCTTTGTTGGGTCAGGTTACATGGCTCATTTGGGCTTCATTGGACCCAAACAAACTCTTCATTGGACCTGGAAAAAGAAAAAAGAAAATAAATAATAAATAAATAAATATAAATAATATAAATATAATATATATAATGTAAAGAGATATATAACTATATAATATACAAGCATATAATAATATAATATGTTTTAAAAAAACATTTTTAAAATTATATATATATATATATATATTCAAAAATTATTTTCAAAACTATATAATATATGTTTTCAAAAATTAATTTTCAAAACTATATAATATATATATTTTCAAAAATCGTTTTCAAAACTATATAATATATATATTTTCAAAATTATATAATATATATATTTTCAAAAATAGATTTTTTAAAAAGTATATATTATATGTTTTCAAAAACCATTTTCTAAAAACTATATATTATATATTTTTAAAAATTATAATATATTAAAATATATACTAAATAAGCCCCGGACGAAAATGAGTGTCTACAATTATAAAATAATAATTTGTTATAAGGTATTATTTTATTATTTTATTAAGTTATTCAATTATTTATATTTTTAAATTTAATCTTGTTTGTTAAAAATGATAATTGTCTGAGTTAGGTGTTAACATATTGATCGATATATGATAAAATCACATTTGAATGATGTCTACTAACACTATTCTTTTTTTCAATCGTTGACTTGACAATATAATGTTTCAAGCGTTGATTTGACATTATACTTTAAATCAAAAGTTGATCAATAAAATACAATTCAAGCAATTTTAACTTATCTCAATCACCATGTTAACGTTTAACTCAAACGGTTGTCAATATTTAACGGAAAAAAATATGAATTTGAAACATATGAATAATCAATTGACTATTTTATAATTTTTTAATAACTGAAGAATCAACAAAACATTATCCTATAGTCAAGGACCGTTTAGTAACTTTATTAATTGAGAGACTCAATAGAGTAATGTCCTATAATAAGAGGTTATTTATGTAATTTACCGTAAATATTATCAATAACCATTAAATTATTAGTACGTGTATATTTTTATTATTCAATTTTAAAATATTATATTTTACCATTAAACTAATTATTTTGCATATTTTAATCATCGAACTATTGACTTTTAAACAAAAAAAATAACGCAAATTTAAATAATTGATAAAATAATACATCTAACTCTCAAATTTTTACATATCATATCATTATGATCCATTATTATAAAAATATCTTCAATATTTTTCATATTTTTTATTTGATCCCTAAAATGATAAATCTATCTTTAATTTTCACAACATTATAAAAATTTGATAAGTTCGATACATTTGAGTATTGGAAAAATTCTGGGAAAATTTTGAAAAATTGGACAGAAGAATCGCTACCGACACTAATACTTTGAGTTTAATATCAATACATAGAACACGAGGATTTTATTTTCAAAATATAGAAATTAATTTTAGTATTGATACATTGTTAAGGTAAATGATATCAAGAAAATTATATTAATGTCTTTAATAGAGTATTGATATACAAATTCTGTTTAATTATAAATAATAATTGATAAAACATAAATGACATAAAAAAATGCACGTGCTATTTAAATACATATTTCATAAATATTTTAAATAATTTATGAATAATAAAAAAGGTTATAATCGAGACCCGTTTGTTGATTGACCTTAGAGGTAATATTATGTTGATCGATTTTAATGATAATAGTGTGAACTAAAGATAGATGATATGGTTATTATCATTTTTTATACTCAGTGTGGTTTGTATCACAAATTTATTGATATTTTTTTGATAAAATGTCTGAATTATTTACATATTTTTATACTAAATATATTTAAAATTATATACTTTTAAATGTAAATAATATCAATTAAATTCAATTCAATACACTTGTTTAGAGTATTCTTAGATAATCACGTGATGATCCATAGCCCCATGGGTAGATCCGTAAACCCGTTCATCTGGCATTTTGGTAATTTTGTAGCTACCCGAAATGCGAAGAGGCTGTAACTAACGATGATTGCGTTTAATATCACTTGTTCCGGACAATCAAATTGAACACTTTACTCGAGCATACAAATCCTTCTTTTCAATCAATCCAGACAAGTAGAGAAAGAGAGAGATGGCATCTGGCTGGGGAATCAATGGCACCAAAGGCAGGTGCTACGATTTCTGGGTCGACTTCAGCGAGTGTATGTCGCGTTGCAGAGAGCCCAAGGACTGCGCTCTCCTCCGTGAAGACTATCTCGAATGCCTCCACCATTCCAAAGAGGTATTTCTCTCCTCCCCCTCTTCATTTGCTTTCTATTTTTCTTCATTTCGCTTTGATTCGATTCCATGTTTTTTTCGTTTAATTGTCGCCGTTGAAATGTCCTAAAACCCTAAATCCCAATCTTATTTTCTATGGAGTGTATAATTAGTATTCATAGATCAGTTTACGATATTCTGCATTTTAATTTTCGCTATGTTTACTATATGTTAGACGTAGTTCATGAGATGAATTAATCTTTTTCATGTCCATTGAATTTCGCGATTTGTTAAATTTTGATCTTTTACTCTTGAACACCAAAACTCTAAATGGCATGGAATTGGATCTATTAGTTTCTCTCGGCAATCATTCGCAAATGAACAGAGTTGTGTTGTTTGGTTTAAAAGTAATTCTAAATCATGTTTTAGATTCTGGTTTTCCCTTATTTGAGAAAAGAATGCCAAGTTGGACCCATATTGATAAGCGTACCGCTGGTTATGAATTGTAACCGGATTATAATCTGGCTATAGATAGCTTCCTTTGAGAATTCATTTACCTTGAGTTTATTTTGATCTTTTCATGGTAATAGTTACTTCTAAATACATGAAGCTCTTCTATCAGTACTTCTCTACAGAATTGCTCTTTTCATTTCTAATTTCATTCTTCATAGTAATGAATTACATTCTGGAACCAGAATGACATTATTTGGTCTTATTTTCTTTTGCTCTACTCTTCCATTTAATTTGGTATCTTATTCCTTATGAAAGGGGATCTGTCAAATTTGTTTCTGTATAAATCAGTTTTCAAGAAGATGATGTGTGGCATCAACATAAAATTATGAAAAAAAGGAAGATATGAAGTACTATAGAGGATCTTGAGTTTTATCTGGGATATGCTTTAATTGTAATATAACTCATATAAGCTCCAGCAGCATAGAAAGTTTAAAGTCAACTTACTTAGGTACATAATGAATTCTTTAGGTATTAGTGTGAACGTGTGATAAATTAAACATATATGCAGCAAAATCATATTATGCTGTTGCAAATTGATAAATATATGCTTTTCCATCCACATTGCTATTAGTATCCTTCAAACCAGAGTGTTTAGTTCGAAGGGTATTAGAGCTCTGGATCAATATGATCGACATTGTAGCAGGTTTCTTCATACAGTTTAATGAGTATATTGGAATTATGCCATGTACCTTTGTTGTTTTGCTTAGAAAATGCCAATTTCCTGTAATTTATGAAATAGTATCACGAGATGAAATGAAATCAAGTGTTAACAAGTATGATTTACGCAAAAAAGTCCAATATAACTCTAATAATGTTTACTGGCTTTACTGTGGCGGCCAGTTTGAATACATTGTCATGATGGATATATGAGCTGTGTATATTTACTTATTAAGTCATATTGGATTTCACATTTTCTTCTCCTAAATCCTTTAGATGTGAGCTTAGGTCAATGGTAAAGAAAATCAGACATTACATTTTCTCGACATGGCCTCATAGATTGAGTTTAGATCTCTTGGTTCTATCTCATGATCCTTGGTGAGGGTACCATTGCAGCTGTTTTGATTAAATGGTGCTATGATCCATTTTGTGTATTGGTATCCAGCATGTTCATGTTCGATCTTGTTAATTATTGCAGTTTCAGCGAAGAAATCGAATTTATAAGGAAGAGCAACGTAAATTAAGAGCTGCTGCAAGAAAAGACAAGGACGGTGCAGATGGTGTTCACCATCATGCATAGCGATAGTTCGTGTTCCTTTAAATTTCCAAGAATAATAATGCATGGAGATTGTTGTATTTTGTTGGCATCTTTTCTGAATGACCTTGGTTTCCCTTTCCTTGCAATGGACATTGTTGTTTTGAGCCTGTGCAACAGAGGCAATGATTAATATTTCATCAAAGCACTCCGACTGATTCGAGAATCTATCGCATCTTTGATGTTGAAATTCTGAGAACCTTATGGTAGTCTCTTTGATGTATGAAATAACGTGCATATATCATGCAAACGTAGCTTGAGATTATCCAATGAGTTCAATTAAATGTGGTTTAACTTGAATGATTTACATTTGATGCATTGATGATATATAATTTTATGTACCAAATAAGATTATAACACATAATTCAAGATAAAATAAATTTAATTATAAAGTTCTGTGATAATGTGTTATCATATATATTTAATCGAAGATGCATAAGATTTATACAAATGTAATTATAAATGTTTTTAATTTAAATAAATCATGTTAAATTATTTGATAAAATTATTGAAAATGAGTTAATCTCAAAACTGAAAACATGTGTAAAAAAAATGAAAACCTAGGTATAAAGTGGTTTAAATATGATACAGGTCTTTGTATTATTCTAAAATTTTAAAATTTAGTCTTTATATTTTGATTTTATGTTATTAAATTCATGCATTATTTTTATTTGAAAATCTTGGTGTCTCTCTTCCTCATGTTCAATTTTATCATTAAACCGATTATATAGAAAAAGGTGACATAATTTTTTCACTCCCATTCATATACAACCTTTTATTAATTTGACGTTTAATTTTTTAAAAGTTTATTATTAACTGAACAATAAAAAATTTCAATCATATATATTTATAATTTTTAAGAGCTGAATAAATAAAAATGTAAATAATTAAAACAAGTATTTTATCATTTTTATAGTTATTAAGTTAATAATTAATCATAAAATTAAACACAAAATAATAGAATGACTAGATTTTTTAAACCAATATATGCCATTAATATATAGACTTAAGTTTTAAAATATTACAAAATTATGGGAAATTAAACTAAAACACTATAAATAATAAAACTAAGGACTTAAAATTTTACTAGTTTGGCACAAATCAAATGATATCAATTATTAAATAATTGATATTACTTTTAAGATTTTAGATGGGTACATCACTTACATAAAAATATAAACGTTGAATATTAAATACTATATTGAATTAACTCGTATTAATAAAATTTATCCAGTTGGGAAACTCAATTAGTGTACGTCAGCATTTTTCCTCAACAAATACAGCTGGACAGATCTACTAAAGAAGCAGGTCTGACGCCACTTGACTGCAAGCTCACAACTTCTGTAAAAGCACTACACTCTAACCTTACCTCACCCAAATATTTTTCTTATTTTTATCGCCTAACCTTCCTCTCTCTAAAAATTCAAAACCCTAAACAATCTCGTTTCCGAATATCTCCGTCTCGGAAAAGAAACAATATTCTCGCAGGTAAACCCTGAATCAATGCATCTTTGCTTTCATTATTTAAAACCTAAAGACCTTCTCTAGAAATTTCCTTTTGTTAGTCTTTGGTACTTTTTAGGGAAGAGAAAGAAAGAAAAAAAAGAGCAGCCGTTCGAGCAGGACTCTCTATGTTGGGAATCTTCCTGGCGATGTTCGCGAAAGTGAAGTTGAAGATCTGTTTTACAAGGTTATACTTGGGAAAACTCTTGCTTTCCTTTTATTTTAATTTTTTTGGTAATCATATAATTAATTCTTCATTATTTTAGATTAAATGGAACTTTTTTCTTCTGAGAAAAAAAGTTAAATTTTGATGTTTATTTGTGAAATACTTGCTTGGGAATAGACTAGGAGCAAACAAGTTGTCTTATATGGAACTTTGAACTTACAGATGCAAAATTTGAGGACTTATGGTTTGAATTCTTTGCTTAGGATTCGATTTTTAGGGAATATTGAAATGCTAAGATATTAAACTGTGAAGATTGTCAACTCAGGTATGCTAATATCAATGAGGGTAGAAGGCTGCAAGTAATGACAACTAATCAATAAATTTCATCCTTAATCATGGCTAGCAATATATAAGGAATACCCAGATATAGCATTACTTGGAGCATACTTCTGGCCGTGTTTTACTTGCATGCTTCGTTGAGTATATTTGTGAAACAAAAGCTGGCTCTTTTAAATTTATGGAGTGGAACCACAGTTATTTCTTCTATTGAGTTTGGCTTGCTTGATATGGGTTTCATTGAATCTCATGATATGCTTTTCTTAGATTAGTAAGTTTTCTGTAAGCTTGAAATTTTTATATATGATTTTATTTCAGTATGGTCCCATAGTCCATATTGACCTGAAGATTCCACCAAGACCTCCAGGTTATGCTTTTGTTGAGGTGAGTTAAGGTTCTGATGTTTTGATGGTGGTGGTTGTTAAGAGTGGGGGTTGTTTTTGGGTTTTTCGTGTCTGGTCGTAATGTTACTTTTTTCCTAGTTTGAAGAGGCTCGAGATGCTGAAGATGCTATACGTGGTCGTGATGGCTATGATTTTGGAGGACAGCGTTTGCGGGTTATTTCCTTTTCTTTCTTGTTTAGATTTTTCTTTGCATCTAGCCACTGTGTCATGAACTTGGCTTTGTGAGCTTTATTCTCATCTTATTAATTAATTGCAGGTTGAACTTGCACATGGTGGCCGTGGACGTTCATCCTCAGACCGTCACAGCAGTTATGGAGGTGGGCATGGGCGTGGACCATCCAAACGTTCTGAATATCGTGGCTTGTTATCTTTTTATGCCCCTTTTTTCTTGTGCTATGTATTTTGGGCTACTCATGATTTTTCTTTAATGGATTGCTTTGGTGTACAGTGTTAGTCACTGGATTGCCATCTTCAGCTTCATGGCAAGATCTTAAGGTAGAAGCTGATTTTGCTAAATTTGTCAGTTTTCAAATCCAAAAAAAAAAGAGTAACCTATCACAGAGGACATTGAAACAAATATTTGTTGTGGTGTGTTTAACTCAGGATCACATGCGACGAGCCGGGGATGTTTGTTTTTCCCAAGTTTTCCGTGATGGTGGTGGTAAGACACTATATTTGATGTTCATAGTTGTAGGCCGGTCCTTTAGCTTTTGTGTAATTTTACTTAAAACTAGTCTTTTCTGTTTTCTCAAATGAAAGTTAAATCACTTTATGAAAGGCTTTCTGATAAATTTGTTTTTTGGTTTATCAGGGACAATGGGAATTGTGAATTACACCAATTATGATGACATGAAGTATGCTGTAAGTAACCTTTCTTCAACTCTGTTTAGTGTGGAAGACCTTTTCATAACTCAGTTAACGTCACTGAGTAATTATGATCATGTCTAAAATTTCTTGATCTCTTTTTGCAGATCAAGAAACTTGATGACTCTGAATTTCGGAATGCCTTTTCTCGGGCTTATGTTCAGGTACATGATCTTAACTTGGTCTTTGAGAAACTGAAGTAATCTTATTCAATTTTCCAACTAACATATACGATTCTAAAGCTTAGTTTACATGTTTACATTTTTAATGCAATTTCCCCTTTACTGTTACAATTTTCATTTTTTACTAAGGCTTTTAACCTTAGGTTAAGGAATATGATTCTAAGAGAGATTCCTCTAGAAGTCCCAGTCGTGGTTGTTCTCTCTCAAGAAGCCAAAGCCGCAGCCGCTCTCGTGGTCGGAGCAATAGCAGCAGGTTTTTCTTATTCTTTACAATGTGAAATTTTATTTGTGGCTAAACAGTTGCTTGATAACCTTGCAATTGTTATGCAGCAAATCTCCTAGAACCAAACCTTCACGCGAGTCACCTGCAAAGTCAAGATCAAGGTCACCTTGTTCCCCCCATTCGTCAAGGTCTTGCTCTTTGTCAGGGTATACATGCCTCCCCCTTTTCATTGAATAATTTTTTTTGCTGTATCAAGGATGATGGTATCCGACTTTGTTCCTGTTTGTTGTTGGTTTTTACTGATGATAAAGCTTGCGGTCCAGCTCATTGATAATATTTCAGTTTTTTTATAAGTAATGTTTCAGATTTCTTGACCCTGCAGTTGAATTTTTGTCTGCATTTGAATATTCATTAAAACGAATCCTCTGCCTTAGATAAGTATAGGGTCTGGGCTTCAAGGTACAGTACTTTTGGGTTCTGAAATGAAAATGGAAGTTGCAGTGCAATAATGGCAGCTTCCTTTGGAAGCTGAAGTGCTGAACTAACTCATTTTGAAGAATGATTTGCTAACGTGGGATTTTTTGTTTACTATACATTATTATTGCCTCCCGTCTTTGGACTTGTTCACCGTTAATTTTTTTTGTATCCACTTGCCCATTAAACATATAGGAAACATGTATCTAGATGTAGAGCATATTACACACACCGAATTAACTGTGAACACAGACGGACCTTATTTGAGAACTTAAATTTTGGAGTTTTGAATAGAATGCCAATTGTTTATTACTTCGTACACTTAGTTTCTTGTGTAAGGTAAAGGAATGTGTTTGTGTACTCCTTCATTCATGGGTCCTACTTGGGTTATCAATGTTTAAATAAAATTTGGAATAAAATGTGGTTGTTAGCGTGAATTTATGCTTTTGGCTTGCATGCTTTCCTTCTTGGTCAGGATTGCATCCCAGCTATTGAACTACATTTTCTTTCTTTTATCATGAAAATTGCCTTGTTTTTATTTTAGATATGGATATATGCAGCAAACTGGGGATTGGATATTGGGATCTTGTGGGGATATGTTTCAAATTGCTTGCAACTCATATGATTGCAGAGGTATGCTGTTTTTTAGATGGGCAGCTTAAAATCACTCCTGTCCCTTTTCTAATCGACATAGCATCATAAATGCCCATGGGTTCTAGATTGGTAACAAAGGAGTCAATGGACTGCACAATAGAGCTGGATTTCTTTTCAAGGAACTGCAATAGTAGAGCTCGATTTCAGTGAAGTAAATGCACTGGGATTTGTAACTCATCACTTTGAGCGGTAGAACATTTCACTGTCATTTTCCGCTCCAGATATTGCCAAGCTAATAGGTAATGCTATGTGGATTGACTATGGAATTTGGTGGCACAGGACCTTTTGCTCATTGCCTCATTCTATATCCACTTGTGTCAAAATATTGAAAATTTAAATTGTATTGATTTTATTTTGCTAGATTAGGTTTTATTCCTTGTGTGGGCAGGTTTGCGAGTTGGCCTTATTCTTTGTTTCCTTATTTGACTGCTATAGATCTGCGCATTCTCCTTTTTATTCCTTTTGAATGTGGTGTTTCTGACGTGGAAGGGGGCGTCAAGGCTCTTGGACATAAAAGTTGTTAAAAAAAGGAACGTGTTGATTTTTAAACTTGGGTACTTTCTGGAACTTTTGCAGATCTCGATCAAAATCAAGATCTCCTTTGCCTTCTGTAAGTTTGTTTTCTGCGTATGTTTAGTAAAAAGTTTGAAATTGGAGTTGCCGTTTTTAAATCTTTGAAAGAGCAGGTTTCTGTTCTGTGTCCAATGTGCAGTTTTTTAATCCAATCTAATCTAACACGGTTGTTAGTCTCCTTTTTATTGGTTACTATCATGTTTTGTTATATATATAGATATTACATTACTCTGAGCAGCGCGGAAAAGGAAGGAGCAAGAGTCCTAAAAGGCGCAGTGTTAGCAAGAGTCCAAGTGGGAGTAGAATCAGGAGTAGGAGCAAAAGTTTATCCAGGTGTGTCTTGATTTCTCTAATGTTGATTTCATTACACGGCCAAATGGAATGAGAAATGTTGATTTCATTGGTCAAATGAGCTATATATGTATATCATCCATTTACTTCCATTTTATTTTATTTTATTTTATTTGACAGGTAAGTTACCATGCAGAGTTGATGTGTGACCTGAAAGCTGATGAAAGATCCTATGAAATTTAACTTGAAGCTGTGGGGGAGAAAAGAACTTATTGGAAGTGTACCAATCATGCTGGATTTCATGGCTAGAGTTTGCTATATATTGAATCATTTTACTATTGTTTTTAACTCCATTGCTCTGGTGTGGAATCTCTAAAAGACTTATTTATAATGAAAACCATTTCCATTAAGTAAAAAAATTGCACCTAATCTCCATGATCTTAGAAAATATTTGCTTGTGTAGTGTGTTTTTGTTCTGGTGAGGGATGTGTGTCGAATCATTAATTAGGAGTGACACTGTTAACAATTATTGAGGCCAAGAGTTGACAATTGGGGGGACTGAAGTGGTGGTTGAGGCGTCATGTCATGTCATTGTATAGTTGAGGGGACAAAGTTGATTAGTGGGCACGTGAATTTGTCAAGATGTGCGTAGGAACATAATTCTCATTCCGTCTCGTCGACTCTTTGTTGATTGATTGATTCCATGGTGTGGTGTGTGGCCAATGGGCTGTTGTCGTGCTCACGGATTAGATAAGAATTTATTACATTCTCTGTGTGGCAATGCCGCACTTCACGTTAAGCTTTCTTCTACAAGGCCAACTCTTCATTATGCCTTTACGTGAACATAATAACAATGCAGCTTTAGACACCTGGCCCTTGAAACAAATCATGTCCATTTAAACCTATAATTTGTCTCTAAATGTAATTTATGAGAGTTGGATTGAAATTACAGATGTAAGTTTTGCTTTGGGTGAAACTAAAGCTTTGATTAAATCCTAATAGAAGTAAAATTGACAGCATGGTGCTGAAATCAATCACTCTTAAATTGCCTTTAGGTACGATGAACCTAACTTTTAAAATTTTCTCCGGTGTTGATTGCTCCTGATATTTTTTTAAGTTATGAAGTACGTTTTAAAGGGACCATTAAACTGTTAAGATTTACTGATATTTTAAAAAAATTCATTTAAAAAATGGAAGGTATCTGATGAATTAACCCTTAGTTAAATAAAATATTACTTTGAACAGTTTTATCCACCCAGATCTTGAAAAGAAATGATTAAATAAAGAACGACTGAACTAGACGATTCCTAGCGCTATTCATCCGTATCTGTAATCCACAGCCACAAAGCAGCCTATAAGTAACTGTCGAAACAATATGCTATGCTATCCCCCACGCCGACGCTCCTTCACCGCCTCCAGTTGCTTAATTCAACTCTTTTTATGGATGCTGCCCTCGTTATAATTTCCTAGAAAACAAAACAGCAAGTTGAAACACCAGTAATACAACTTTTTTTTTCAACTCTTCTTTTGATCATTAGAACTCACGACGATGACGGAGACGCCGTTCTCTAAGCTCCCGGAGGATGTGGTTCTAAACATATTTTCCAAGCTCGAAGACGATCCCACGAGCTGGGCAAGTCTAGCTTGTGTCTGCACCAAGTTCTCTTCTCTCATTCGCAACACCTGCTTGAAGCTGAAATGTTCCAAAACCATCCCCACCGTCTCCGCTGATCTTCTCTCCCCTTCCTCCGCCGTTCCACCCGGCGGTTGGGCATCCCTTCACAAGCTCTCCGTCTGCTGCCCTGGCCTCCTCCACGCCGGCATCCTTCTTGAGAATTCTGATTTCGGCCTCGAACGCGAGCTCGGTCCCGATGAGAATTATCACAAGCCGGCTAATTCCCATGCTACAACGCCATCCACCGAGCACTGTTCGAGCATAACGGAAGGCAATTCAAATCCGAACACGAACTCAGAAGCCGACGTTCCGGGATCCGATTGTTCCTGGTCTCTTTTTGATGATCTCTATTTCGACACCGTTTACAACGCGTCCGATTCAGTAGACGATTATCCAATGGAAACTATCGAAACCGGGACTATTTCAATCGGGCGTGAATTACCCGTTTGTAAGAGAAGGAAGGTTTGTAGATCGCAGAGGTCCCATTTAGCAACCGGCGTTTGGAACTTAAGCCGTGAACAAGGGAACAAGTTATTGGCGAGCCGGTTCCGAGGGGATTGCTTGTACATTTGCGATTGGCCCGGGTGCGTTCACACGGAGGAGAAGCGAAATTACATGCTTTTCAGAGGGGTATTCAAGAACTTTAAGAAATCCCGGGTGTGGAGGACGATAAACGATGGGAACCGGAGCAAGATCGATCTGGATTGCGCGTTTTGTTCATGCAAAGAGACGTGGGATTTACATTCCGCCTTCTGTTTGAGGCGGGTTTTCGGATACCATGACGATGGCGAGCCAGTTGTTCGAGCTTTTGTCTGTGAGAACGGACATGTTTCTGGTGCTTGGACTGATCTGCCTTTGTACACTTGAAAAGGCAGAGAATTGCACCATCTCAAAATTACTAGTAAGCTGCCTTCTTCATTATTATAATTCAGTTTGTATTACTAGGCTTGAGCTTTTTACCAAAGCTCCTCAGTTTGGTTTTGTATGAACATCACAGTGATGCTTGAGATATGGTTATACATATCATCATTCTTATTTGAATCATTAAGATTATCCTGAAACTTACACCCTTTTATATATATATATAACATCCGCAACTGCGGCACTGTAATCACATCCACAATCATATTTAGATACTATTTATACAACTAATAAGAAACTATTTGAACACTCGCATGATATATTAAGTAGAGAAGTGTTACAATAACTAGTGTAAAATGTGCTCATCTATACCTCAACATCCAGCATTATTGGTATTACAATCCAGTGTGCAACATCATGGTTATTAGGTAAACTAAAATCAGGCAGCAATCACTTACCTAAAGAATCGAGTTTATCGGGTTTCGATGACACCACATCTTTAAGTTGGCATCGCTCAAGACACTGCAAAAATAGTCAATTTATAACTTGTATGGATGTAAATGAAGTGGCTAATGTTGTTGCTCGGAATATAATGTTTACCTTCCAAATCTCTTCATCTGAAAACTGTCCTACAGGGTCAATGTTACTTCTCACCGTTCCTTCGAAAAGAACAGGCTCTTGAGGGATGATCCCAAAGCGTGACCTAAGATCATGCAGCCCCAGCTTGCAGATATCTATTCCATCAACGATTATCTTCCCTCCTGTTGGTTCAACCACTCTAAACAAAGATTGGATTAAAGTCGACTTCCCGCTCCCCGTCCGACCAACAACACCGATCTTTTCACCCCCATTAATGCTGAGAGTAATGCCTTTAAGTACAAGAGGAGTGTTCGGTCGGTACCGAAACTGCAATTCTTTGAGCTCGACATGTCCATGTGCAGGCCAATTTGGAGGGGGAAGACAGTCTTCGATATGCCATGTTGCTTCTGGTTGAATAGTTGAGAATTGCTTTATTCTTTCCACTGAAACCATTCTATTTTCCACAAAGCAACTTAAATATATGAACCAGAACAACACTCCATTGAGAGACAACCCATATGAGAGAGATAACCCAACATTTTCTGCATTGTGCAAAAGAAGTTGAAAGTTCTGTATTATGCACCGACATATGTATGCCTTCACTAAGACAATGTATGAACTTACTTGAAACATATATACTTGATTTTAACTAGGCTAATAAGCCATGTGTAGCATATGCTTACCTGGCCTGACAATGCTGCTAGGTAACAAGATCATAAACATGGTAGAAAGGCAGAGGACTATGGTGCCGATAAGTTCTAATCGGAAGCCTAACCACTCACTGGATCCGTTGTTGTGGAAATCCATGCGTAAATTGGAATTAACCCTGTTAACGTTTTCCTGAGAAAACCTATCCTCCTTTCTGAATGCACTAATCGTCATAACTCCAGAGATGCTTTCTGAGAAGTGATGGATGACGGGAGCTTTAGTGATTGAGTCGAGGCGAGTTAGTTCACGGGATGATGCTAGGTAATATCCCTGCAATCAAAGAGAAATGAGCATCATCGAGTGGACCTTGTATAATCCATCATTTGAGCCTACAGCATAAGCATCAGTTCTCGAATATAAAGAAAGAGAACTGCAGTAGAGAAGGTTTATGATTTAAAATGTTTTGGTGAATGATCGTGTTAGAATGGTGCAGTCATAGTGCTTACCACATGATCTATGTCTTACAAGATGTTGGATTGTTATAAAAATAGGTGATGAATATTGAGGGCCAAGCGAATTATCACATGAATACTGTTATAATCGAAATGAAATAACCATACCCGATACCAGTAATTCAGCCAAGCAAGTGGAATTATCAAGAATATCGAGGGCCAAGCGAATTGACATGTGATTATGAAGATACTGAGCATTGCAATCTACAGAGAAACGGTAATCCCCGTAATGAATGGCACAAAGATATCGACATTGGTCTGATCAGTTGATACCTGTGGATTAAACGTAATGAATCCATCAGTCCTATCCTACGATACATACCTATATGCTATAATGAGGTTAGAAGCTTTACCCGACTTAAAATTCTTCCTGAAGGTGTAGTATCGAAAAAGGACATAGGGGCATGCAAGATGCTTTGAAGAATTTGTCTGAAGAGGATTTGGGATGTCTTTAGCCCCATAAGTGTAACGAAAAAGGATCTCATCACTAATAACATGACCGACACAGCTGCAATGATAGCATAGACCGAGATAAATACCGAAGGGTTGAATGAAACAGCATGTTCAGCTGAAGTTTCATATGACAACCAATAATCGCCAGCCATTAGAGACGCTTGCCACGACAGAGATAATAGCAACACTGCGGACACACCCCACCAGCCAAAAGCTTCAGTGAAGTACATTTTGTACACCTGCAAGCTGACTTTACCGGTTTCCATCTCTTCATCTTTGATTAGTTTGGAATCCCCCTTATCTGAATTCGGGTGTTCTTGCGACTTATTTTCGCTATTTGCTTCCCCAATGTTGGAAACACCCTGAGGAGATTTGGATGTTTAGGAGGAATTTTCAGCAGGCGTGGTATTGCTTGCATCAACAAGTTCCATGGATGTTTCATGTGCAGCTACAAGAGCTCCAAAATCTGTGCCAGCATCTAGTAAATCATTATACTTCCCCGACTGTACTACCATCCCTTCTCGCATTACCTGAAATTTACACGACAAATATTTTTCAAAACGTAAATACTCTTACACGAGTGCCTGCATGTTGTCCTTTCCATGAAACAATGATACATGTTTACTTACCAAAATAAGATCAACATTGTGCAAGAAGTCCACTTGATGAGTTACAAGCAAAATAGTCTTATCTTTGAAAGCACCTCTCACGCATTCCTGCAGTTAAACAAGATAAAAACATATCAAGATTTCATAAGCAACTTCCATGTTTTTTTACCAATTTTCTCATACATGGATTACAAAATAAATGAATCGTATAGTAGTTTCACCTTAAATATGTTTGTCCCGGTATGAGCATCGACAGCACTAAAGATGTCATCGAGAAGGTAGATATCACAATCCTGTTAAACCGCTCTAGCAAGTTGTATTCGTTGCTTCGGGCACCGCTGAGGTTAATTCCACGCTCTCCGATTTCAGTCTGATCACCAAACTCCATCATTTCTAGGTCTTTCTCCAAACAACAGACCCTTATAACTTCCCTATATTTCTCCCCTGTTCATCGGTAAACCGAATAGGATGTTCTCTTCGATTGTCCCATTCTGAATCCAAGATGATTGAGCTACATATGCTGTTGTCCCACACAGCTTAACCTGTCATGAAAACAGTACAAGAACCTTGTTTAACAATCTTTCAATATTTTGTTGCATTGTTTGTTTCCATTATGCATATATTCACCAAGTCCATTCGAAAAACAATACAAATATGAACAATAAATGCAACCATTATAAAGGCATAATGATAACTACATACTCTTAGGCTTACCTTCCCTGATATTTTGTGCATTTCACCGAGAATGGAACCTAGGAGAGAAGACGTTCCAGATCCCACAGTCCCTACTATGGCGGCAAGTTCCCCTTTCTTGACCTCTAAATTTATATTTTTAAGAACCCCTTCTCTAGTTTCGTCGTCCCAGCTAAACACTGCATTTTCAACTTCCACTGCAATCCGAGTGTCGTCGCAACCCTACTGTCTCTCCACTGATGAATCAACCAACTCCTTGCTCATCATGTAAGTATCCAGTCTCTCCAACGAAATCATTGCTTGTGAAAGTGAGATCATCGACTGTGGGAATGTCCTGATGGGCTCCTGCAAGATCTTAAAGATAGTTATTGCCGTGAAAACTACCCCTGCATTAAGTGACACTCCTAATAAAAGTGCAGTCGTGAACGTGAGTATCGATATCAACAATGGCGTCGACCACATTACTATGATATTCCCGGATGTCAAATACAAGAATTTGCTCAGCCACCCAAACTCCATGTCACGAAAAGATTGGATTCTTTCATTGAAGTGTTCTTCCCATGCCTGGAACTTGATAATCCGCATGTAATTAAGCATCTCATTTGTTGCCTTCATTCTCAAGTCACGATTCTTCATCACGTTGAATTGAAATCGGTTGTTCCTTTTTGTCCCCATTACCACAAAGATAAAAGTACCAAGAAGTCCGAACACCGATGTCACCACTGAAGCACCAAGGTACATATACAAGAGCACCAAGGCACCTATACAAGAGCACCAAGGCGACAATAACTTGCAAAGGAGTCAACCAGATAGAATGGAGCTGTAATATCATATCAGAGAGCTGTTGAGCATCAACAGCCATGTAATTCACTATCTGTCCCACTCCATGAGCTTGACGTGCGGAGCAAGTTAGCCTTAGCCCTTTCTTGTATAAAGAAGTTATATGAGTGCAGCGGATGAGCATTCTTGATTTTCAGAGGGTTGAAATTGAATTGGTGAGTCGTCAAAACTTCGAGAAACTTAGCAGCTAGGAGAATCAATATAAGGTAATATCCTTCATATGGAGAGCTACGTTTCCCAGCAGTGTAATCAGCAAAGCTTTGGATCAAAATAGGACCAACATACATAACCGAAAGCCGCACAATCGCGAGGAGCACCTTAGCAATGTGGTTCGAACAGGGTGGCTAGATTTCTCTTCAGGTTTAGGCCAATTTGCTTCGAAGAGCTTCAACATCTTTTCGGCCCGATGTTGGGGTGATAGAGTCGGAATTTCATCCATTTTAAGAGGGGATCTATACCCTTTTTTCAACAGAGGATTCATCCAGAGCCAAAATGCCTTTGATACTATTGAAGCTGAAGCAAATCCACTCACATTGGATTTGCTCAACAACGGTTCATACAGCTTTATTTCTTCATCCATTGCCGCTTTGGATTCTCCGGTAGCCATTATACCAGTTTAACCACTAATACCAACAACCACAAGAACAACTGATAATGGGAAAGAAGCAAAGGAAACTATAACATCCAACCCCAAATCCCTTTCCTGATTTGTTTCAACAGATAGCAAACGAATTATCCCTGATGCTGTGAACAATGAAACGATAACGAAATTCGCAATCCAATAAATTCGGAGAAAGATGGAGACAACAGTATAACAAAACACAAGC